TTTTGTCATAAAACTCACATCATTCATAAATGAATTAAATAGCATTCATCAATGAATCTTATTTTTCACATTTTGTTATTACTACTAGATGTGCTGAGCCACCTGCATTAGCCAACAAAAGGATGATTCATTGGTATAAATGGAAGGGAGAAGTCTTTTGTGATGATTTTTTACATTCCGCAGAAAGAATGACCATTAACATTGCAAGTGTTTCTAGTAAAGAGATTGTAACATTCAAACCTGGTTCTGGAATGATTACTGTTTTGGCAATATTGACTGCTCTGCTTGGAATCTTAATGATAATCGGCATGCTATTGATTCGAAGAATTAATGCAAAAAAAAGACGAATCAATCGTAGACATTAAAATTTTATTCTTATAAAAACATAAAGACTATTATTGGAAAAAAATATAAAAGATATTTTTTATTATATTTTTAACATAACTTACATAATATATAATCTATGTAATTCTTGCAAAAATTGCATAGATTAGTCGTCATAATTTATAATCTTCTAATTTTTTTCTATACTATTGTAACAGGAACGGTCAGTGATAATATAGTATATAATAAAATCCATAATATTGATTTATAGGAAGAAAATATATTAAACATTTTATTTTCGCAGGTTCATGCATACTTTGGTAATCACATTAAATTCAACTTACTCTAGTAAATAAACTTATGTTTTTTAATATTTTCGTCACTTTTAAATTGTAGGTTTAAGAATTTTTACTTTTCGAATTTTAAAGATTTTTAATTCAAATGTTCTTGTATTATAGAGAGTTTCTTGAAATATTTATTATAATTATGGCTGTGATCAAAGTCTCGCTACAAATGCTTTGAGGCATGCTTTAGATGGATAGACCAATTAGAAGAAAGAATTTTACAAACTGACCAGTTAAAAAACGCTTCAAAGTTTTTGCAGCATCACGTTGACCATACTCTATGTTCCATTGATTAATTCTCTCTCTCTCTCTCTCTCTCTCTCTCTCTCTCTCTCTCTCTCTCTCTCTCATGTTTTTCCTAATTATTTTAATTTCATTCAAACAATCAGAAAATACTTGAATAAATTAATAAGTTAAGACATTAAATCAACTTACATTAACTTAAACTTTAAACTAATTAAGTTTAAGTAATTAATTACTTATATATTACTTAAACTATTATTTATAACTTGAAATATTAATTTAATTTATTTAATTATGATTTGATTTGGACACATGGGTTATTATTAAAGTCACATTTGAGAGTCATAAGATCGATTTCTCTATTTCTGCAAAGCGTGAGAACAATTTCTACAAAAGGTAGAAAAAGTACAATTTGATAAAGTTGATTCTTTTGCTTTTAAAACGCAAAAATTATGTTTATTATATTAATAAATAGATGTGATAATAGAAGTGCTTTTACACTAAATATTATCAATTTGCCAATGACTAGACGTTACCCTTGGAGGTGGATTTTCCCTGAGTTCAGTCAGAAAGGTATTAATGTTTTGATAATAACTCGGCTGACACCAAGTTTCATTATGTGTGCCATCCACAATCGGAAGTATACGCTTATATGTGCTTCGACAATTCTTATAAAGATCTTGCATCATGCGGGGTGGTACCAATGTATCCGCTAGACCGGAAATAAACAGAGTGGGCACTGTCACTGAACGAATTTTCAGAATAGACAAGTACTGCAACAAAAAATATGAAAATGTGAGGAATTATGTAAAAAAAATATATAAAAATATATAAAAATATAAATAAATATAAGAATAAAGAAGCGAGATTACTGAGATTGTAGAGATTACGAAATATAATAAATTAATACATGAATAGAGGATAAAAAACGTACGAAGATTTGTGCTAATTATATGATACCTTTTAATATAAGACGTTATATCTTCTTTCATAAAATCTTTACACTTGTAAAGAGCGAACAGAACAATCGCATAAAGTAATTAAAAATTTATAAATCTTTTCTAAAATTACTTTTCTTAAATTACCTTGTTTTTATATACAAAAAGTGGGAGATACTGTAAAAATTTAGATCCTACAAATAAGGCGGCCATATCTGGGATACTAGTGAAAGTATTTTCAAGTATAAGGCACCAAATTCTCTGTAAATTTTCATCTTTTGTGGCTAAATCAATGGCTACTGCTCCACCTATTAAATTACCCAATTTAATCAAATTTAATTATCACACACAAATACTGATAATTAGTAAGAAGATTAACTAAAATCTTAGAGCTTAATACAATAAAACTTAAGATTAAAAAATATATTGGAAAATTAATTAAATATTGGAAAATAAATAATAATTCCAAATAATAAGATTAGATTCTTTACCCAATGATCTACCAAATACTATGATTTCATTGGTATTAATATCCGTTCTACTAAACAGGTAATCTATTCCCGCTCGGGCATCCATATAAAGCCCTTCCTCCGACGGAGTTCCCTGCGACAAGCCATATCCTCGATATTCTAACATTAAAATGTTACATTGAATATTATGATACAGTCCTACTATATTTTGCAATCTGAAACATAAATATATGCATAATATTACGATATATTTTGTTATTATATAAACATAATTCACTTTATATATAATTCATTCTTTGTTCTTTCTCAAACAATATAGAAACTTTATGGATACAATTAATAAAGTATTTTTAATAATTTACAATATTTTAATTAGAGAAATTTGTAAAAATGCTTTTCAGTTAAACATTATTGTTATAATAATCTAATTTTTCTTTGTAACAAACAACAGCACACACTACAATTATAAATAAATTATAGATAATATATATATATAGATATTAAGTGTTTATTTATATATATATATTAGGTATACAACTTTGTTTCCGCCATTTTTTTCCGAAATTCGAGGCTTTATTGTAAAAAACTGGTTATATATTTATGATTCAAAGTATTGTCCATCGCTGGCCACTACTTTCTCCCATCTTTCGGGTAGCGTACGAATCCCGCGTCGAAAAAACTGGTCATCTTTTGAGGCTATCCACGAATCGATCCAATTTTTTACTTCTTCATAAGACCGGAAGTGCTGGTCAGCCAGGCCGTGTGCCATTGATCGAAACAAGTGATAGTCAGAGGGAGCAACGTCTAGAGAATATGGGTGGGGTAGGACTTCCCATTTCAACGTTTCCAAGTATGTCTTGATCACTTTCGCAACATGGGGTCGAGCATTGTCATGCTGCAAAATCACTTTATCGTGTCTCTCGTTGTATTGCGGCCGTTTGTCTTTCAATGCTCGGCTCAAACGCATCAATTGCGTTCGATACCGATCGCATGTGATTGTTTCAGTCGGTTTTAACAGTTCATAATACATTACGCCGAGCTGATCCCACCAAATACAGAGCATGACCTTGGACGTCAAAATCACCGTTCTTAAAGCGTTGAAACCACTCACGACACGTGTTCTTTCACTAATAGCGGCCTTACCATAAGTATTTGAGAGCATTCGATGAGCCTCAACCGCAGATTTCTTTATATTGAAGCAAAAAATTAAAACCTCCCGCAAATGACGAGAATTTGGCTCGTAGACTGACATTTTCAATCGAGAATAACTTTATGATGCAGACACAAATCGACTAATGTTTCTATGGGGTTATATTGACAGATGCCCAAGTTTATTGTATGTACGTCTATGATCTATTTATTTCGACCACCACTTACCGCTAAAGCCATCTATAGGAAAACGGCGGAAGCAAAGTTGTACACCTAATATATATATACAATAAAATAATAAATATACCGATGACCCATATTGCCAGCATTGCCATGAAAAAATAATAATGTAGGTGCTTTCCTCATTCTGTCTTCTGGTTGAGAAACAAAAAACATATGCAGGATTGTACCATCTCCAGCTCTGGTATATATACTTTGATAAGGTAAACTAAATATTGAAGGAGCTGGTACATAGACTCTCGAATGGGCTGGCAGTTCCGGATGATAAAGAAGTTGATCTTCTCTATGATAGAGTATTCCTGTAATAATAAAAAATATCAATCTTTATAATCTTTAAATTAATATAAAATTTAATTAATATTAAATATTAAAATAATATAAAATTTCTAAATTTATAATAATAATAACCTTGTTATAGAAAATGAAATCTTTTGTAATAAAAAAAATATGTATATGGATAAATATATATACGAACCAGTTGTGGCAAAACACAGTAAGACAAAAGCCAAAATGCCACCATATAACCAATATAAAAAAAAGCATAAGAGAATATATGCTCCACTAAAAGCCCAACACTTCATGGCCACATTCCCCAAAAGTCTAATTGGCCTGCTGCGAGCTAAACGTATTCTGAAGGACATTATTTATATGTTTCGTATAATTTAAAGAAGCTCTGCGTTATCTAGCTAATCGAATTGCTTCTAATAAACAATTAGTTTGTCTTGATTTAAAAACAGCCATGATGATCCATTAAATTATAATTGCTGTAGTAACTTTCTACATCTTCCTAAAACATGTTCAAAAAATTGATAAAAGTTTTAATGATTATTTTTATTTATTAGTTTTATTTTTCAACTTTATACAATATAACTTTTCATATTTTATTAATGCTTTGTTGTCATTTAAATAAATTACTAATAAAAGCTAAAAGTTATATACTAATTAGAATCCAACCTATGATCCATCAAGATGAGATGACAGATCACATAAAGTTCGATAAAATTAATGAAATTTTTAGTAAAAAAATTAATGTTTCTGGAAAACGATTCATAAAATTTTAAACATTGCTCGAATTACTTCACAATTATTGTTAAACGGCACATTGAGAATCAAAAAATAACAGATGTCATTTAACCTTTACGTCAAAGCTATATATAAAGCTATATATAAAGGATTGAGATTGAGACTATTTTCTCGAATGAAACGCGATCTGGAGTCACATAAACAAAACATGTCGAAACACATTGTACATACGAATCGGTAAATCACAGCATACCGTTCACACGATCATGATTTTGTTTTTCAAGTTCACTCGTGTTTCGACAATCGTCGTCAGTTGTCGTCAGTATCGTCGGTATCGTCAATATAGTCGACATGTGGAGTGGGGTCGTGTGTCAAGTGCCATTGGCAGTCGACGTCGACTTCATACGACTCGTCAGCTGATTACTTGCTCCTATAACACTATATCACGATTAGAAGTTCTGATTTAATTAAAATTTTTCGTGTCGTCTCTAAGGTACGTAGAACCGCTCGCGGCGCTTGCTATTTTATAATAATTTGACAAGTATAATTCATAATTATTTTTATCAATTATCCAATGTTATTACAATATAACGCGAGAATGATGTAGCACAGAGAGAGAGAGAGAGAGAGAGAGAGAGAGAGAGAGAGAGAGAGAGAGTTGGCATTAATATACAGCAATTAATCCTAACTGTTTCAATTGTTCTATCGGATAAATATAAGCATAGAAGCAGAACCTTGTTTGAAATTGTTAAATAATTTTTTTATTGGTTTTGCGTACATAAAAAATACGATGCTCCGAAAAATATTGTTCTTTTTGTTTTTCAAGCATTACTTTCTGATGTGTAGCTTATAATCTATGGTTATTTTTCAGTATATACAATGTTGTTTCATGTTAAGTTATTATATATTCTATGATATCGATAATAATTTGATACTTTTGAAATTGAAATTTTGTAAACAAATTGTTTACAGAATATGTTTGGCTTCGTATTTTCTGTTTAATCACTATTTAGTTTTTAACATATACAATTATCACATATAATTTGTCTGTTATTATTTTGTTTGTACTTTATACGTGCATATGTATATATATATATATATATATATGTGTGTGTGTGTGTGTGTGTGTGTGTGTGTGTGTGTGTGTGTGTGTGTGTGTATGTGTGTGTATACATATAGTATATTTAGACCGTTTTGCTTTAGGAGGATATTTATACAACAATAGCAAATATGTCCACTGATGTAAATATGCAGGCTGAGAAGGTATGTACAGAAACAATTTCGTTTGCATGGTATATCTCTGCATGGTAATCAGGATGTATAACAATATATCTGTAATGATGTAATGATAATCGTTGTGTACATGTTGTGTTGCTGTTATACGTTAAAATTACTCATTCCCTTTCTGGAAAGCTGAAAGCTTGTGGTAAAATATTGATTAACATTAATCTTTCTTTGGATTAAGCACAATGAGGAAGCAAGTGTCAATAAGACCGAAGAAGAAGATGGCAGATCGTCTAAAGACATGCATGCGGTACCTATTTTTCCAAATTAAATTTTGCTTTCTAGAGGTGGTTCTTTTTATTTATCCCACGATACTTCATTATTTCTTCCAATTGTACAATACTTTAGATTTATGTATAAAATTTTGTCAAGTCTATTTATGTGACAAATAATGTGATAGATGTTTTGGAAATTTTTTTTTAGCAAAACGGCAGTCCCATTTATGGCGGCTGCGAAGGACCAAATGCAATGTACGTGAAGCTGGTCAGTAGCGATGGCCATGAATTTATTGTTAAACGGGAACATGCATTAACGAGTGGTACTATCAAAGCAATGTTGAGTGGTCCTGGTCAATTTGCAGAGAATGAAGCGAATGAAGTCAACTTCCGAGAAATTCCGTAAGTATAAAAGATACAAACTATTATTATTATTATTATTATTATTATTATTATTATTATTATTATTATTATTATTATTATTATTATTATTGTTTGAATAAATGTCTTTTTTTTATAGGTCTCACGTATTACAAAAGGTCTGCATGTATTTTACTTACAAAGTACGCTACACAAACAGCAGTACAGAAATACCAGAATTTCCTATCGCACCCGAGATTGCTCTGGAACTGTTAATGGCCGGCAATTTCTTAGACTGCTAAATATCATCTATATAGAAGTGTTTCAGCTTTTATCGACAATTAAATTATAGGAACAATGCAGCTTTCTTTATTATGGCCGTTTATGATATATTGTGATATTTGCAAGATCATATTGGAGTATAATAATCGCTTTAGATTCTCATACTCGTGACATGAACATTTTAGTGCGACGAGACAATGCAATGTCGAAGTTTTATAGTTATGTAACCTAAATATTCCACACATATTGTGTTATGCTTCATAATCCATATAGTTATAAAGACAATTGTATAACACTTAAAATAATTATCGATAAAGGATTACCACTTACAATCTTCTAGCAATTCATACACATATATCATCTGTTATATACTTGAACTATATATTTCAGTAAATTATTGTTAACAAGATTAGAAATAAATTCAACTTTATATATTGAAACATTAATTCTATCTGCCGTATATCAGGTGACAAATACTTTTCTTTAATTGTATTTAATATTATGGCAAATATATACAAATATCTCTTTTGTTAACATAGCTATAATTATTTGTTTTTGAATTTATACATAGTGATTGTATTTACACTTGTATCATCGTTACGTAGGCACATTGTGAAATTTATTAATATGTATATTGCAGAAGAAAGATTAGGCTTGATAGAGCATTAAATAAGATGTATCATTTTTAATTAATAAGTTAATTATAACAGTCAGATTTTGTATGATATGCAAAGAGATAGCAAACTACACTTTTATAGAGGTTTTGTAAGCGTGTTCAAGAGGTCTCGTTATACTAATAAATACAATGTACAAAAGACATGCTTTTCTGCTAGCTCTTACTTATTTTTTATACAATCATTTATATTCGCAATAACTGTCGCTTAAGATACATAATTATATTATCCTATTATTATTTATATGATAATTACATAAAAGTACATATAATGATTTACATATTCATAGATAAAATTTCATTTGTTTTTCGTATCCTTTTCAAGATCCTTAAACTTGGCTTCAAGTCGCTTGGAATACGCTGCTAGTTTATATGCAGCTTGCTCCAATTTACTGACACTGTCATCAATCTGATTGATATTATCCAGGATTGGTTGTAGCTTCTTATACTTGTCATTCAGCGAATCCAACGACTGCACTACGTTCGATGAGATGATCTTCAGTTCCGTGTACTTTGCGATGGTCTCCTTGTTTAGACGCTCCAGCAGCCGATAATCTGCGTGGGTAGCGGTGAGCTCTTCCTGCAGATATTCGCCCGTCTTCTGGAACATTGTGTTCGCCAAACGACTCAGGTTTGGATCATGCGGGTCCAATGCCTCGAAACTGCTGGTGCTGGTGGAGAGGGTGGTGCCGCGTTTCGGTGACTCGCATCTCGAATTCTGTTCCGTGGATAGATTTTCAATCAGACCTCCCTCCGTCTGTATCTCGTCCTTCGATGGATCCATGATCGGGCACGATCAATTATAGCTATCACGAGATATATATCACAGAACGACTCGACTGAATACGATCGGAATCTGAATGAACATGTCGATATAAGCAGGTGCCAAATGTCCGATCAGCTGATGACAAATGAGCGATCCTAACCTGCTCTTTACATTCCAGCACTTACTTGGCTAATTTTTTTAGAATGTAACATGTGACGTCGGACTATAAATTTGACAGATACATAAAATCGCGTAGTTTACTATCTTTATCATTAATCATGATTGTCGACTCCTCGACATCTTATCGATTTCTCGAACAGGCAATCAATTTTCAAATTCGAAATGATGATTTGAATAATTACAATTTTCCTTTTTCTCACACTAAGTGTGTGTAGTATCTTCTAATTTTATTGACAATTTATGCATCAATGACAATAAAAAAGAAATTATGTAAGTATCGAGAGTACAATAATAATGTCGAAAAAAGAAAATTTTTTCAGTAATAAATTGCGCATCTTTTTATTCATATACTACAATCATATATTTACATTGTCTTAGTGTAAGTAATGTATGTTACATATAAAAGTACTTTTATATTCTTTACATAAAATAGTAGATTATATACATATTAATGTACTATATTGTGCGACTATTTAAAATGGCACCATATTGTGTAATAATATAGAAATTGATTTAGTTTTAACATACGCAAAAAAATTATGTCTTAAAATATATTTAACAGATTTACATAAACACAAACTGAATAGAACTCTTCCAATATTATATTTTTTAGATATATAAATTCTCATATATAAAATTTATTTATATTTTATTATATAAAATTTACTTAATTAACAAAAGATAAAAATTACTTTTTTAATGCTTTGGTCTAAACTTTGGTAACTGTATACCACCATGGCTTCATTATCTAGCCAATGATATGCGGAAGACAAAATGTAATAGCAAACTAGAAGCTCCAGATGCTTCTCTTAATTATTTAGACATAATATTTATTAAAGTTTATAACCGTTAGGATTATTTTGTTGCCATTTCCATGTATCTGCGCCTGGAACAGTAATAAGTTTATAATTTTAAAACATTTAAGTACAGAAAATATAAATAAATATTATCATTATTATTCATTTATTATTGCAACTTACACATATCATCCAAATTTTTTGTAGCAGTCCAGTCTAGTTCCTTATTAGCAATACTAGCATCCGCGTAACTGGTGGAGACATCACCTGGTCTACGTTCAACTATCTTATATGGTATTTTCTGTGCGGATGCTTTTTCAAATGCATGTATAACTTGAAGTACAGAATAGCCCTTTCCACTACCAAGATTTATCGGCTTAAATCCCGTTGGATTACGAGTTTTTTGATACTTTACAGCTTTCATATGTCCAATTGCCAGATCCATAATATGAATATAGTCACGTACACCTGCAAATTTAGTTTAGAAAAAAAGATCTTAATTACAATATCATAAAGTTCTCTTTTTTCCTATAATATTATATATACACCTACAATATATACTCTTTACAAGAGCTTTTCTATTAAAAGAATTTTATCTAGTCTTTTTACAATAAAAGAAAAAAGTATAAAACTCTTACCTGTACCGTCAGGGGTATTATAATCATTGCCATAAATGTATAATGTGTCCCTTTTTCCAACAGAAACTTGTGCAATATAAGGCATTAAATTATTTGGAATACCGTTGGGATCTTCTCCAATTTCACCTGAGGGATGTGCGCCGACAGGATTAAAATATCTCAAAGATATAACAGAAAATTCCTAAAAAGTAAGTTCCTTTAAAGTGAATCACAAGATAATATATTAGAATATATTTGTTCGCTCCAACATGCTCCAACATGCTCCTACCAAAGCTCCTATTCACTCTATCAAACACGTTGGAATGAGTAAAAGCTATGGAGCATGTTGGAACATGCGACGCGAATAAATCTAATATATACCTTATCTGATGTACACAAATCCTTTAGTATTTCTTCCACCATGAACTTTGTCTTTCCATATGGATTTGTACAGTTACCAGTTTTCATGTCTTCTACTAAAGGAAGTTGCTCAGGTATACCATAAACTGTGGCACTACTTGAATAAATAAAACGTTTTACATTGTTTTCCCGCATAACTTCTAGCAAATTTATCGTGCCGCTGACATTAGTTTTATAGTACTCAAGTGGTTTCTGACATGATTCACCAACTGCTTTCAATGCAGCAAAATGTATAACGCAATGAAAAGTATGCTATAAAGATAAAAATCTGAATATTCAAATCCAATGTACTATCAATAAAATTTGAGCAAATAAACATAAAATATTTACTTTTTGAAATACACTTCTTAGATCATTGATGTTTGTGATGTCACAATCAATATATATAATACTTTTATTTGTCAATTTTTCCACTCTGAGGAGAGATTCTGGTTTCTCAGAATTTAAGTCTGTAAATATAAGAAAAACAGATTGAAAAATTAAAAATTGTATTATACCTATATAAGTTACAATATATGATAGAAAAGTGATAATTTATCAAAATAACTATTTAATCTCTAATTAATTATTAATTTGCATGCATTTATATGCTATTGTATTATCACTAGAAAATACATGTTAGATTTAAGAATTAGAAAATAGATAGTAATTAATTTACCACGTTATTAATATTAAGTGTGGGAAAAAGTTTGTGGCGTTTTTTTAATGCCATTTAACGAGAAAACCACCTAATATATAATTTAATTTGAAATATATACATATACGATAAGTATATCATTTTTTGTCATATAGCTTGTTACGTCTCACCTTTATGTGCATTGATAAGGTTGTCTATTACCACCACCCGAAGGCCCGCTTGTACCAATTCCAATACTGTATGAGAACCAATATAACCAGCGCCTCCCGTTACCAACACATTCCAAGATTCACTTGCCATTATTTAATGTTTAATGCTGTTTTATTAGTTGATGTATATTATACACATGCATTTATGTGTTGTTATCTCTTATATCACGATGTAAAAATACATCATGTCTTATATATTAAACCTTTTTAGAAAAATCTTTTTACAAGAATGCCTTGTATTAAGCTCATAAAATCAAAATTATATCTTTATACAATTACATATTTTCAAATTTTATTTTAGCTGCTTAGATCCGATTGCACCAAAGTTACTTAAACTTTAATCGAAATTCAAAATTCTCTTCCTCTCTTACTCTCTTTAAAAAGAGAGCGAGAGAGAGAGAGAGATTTGAAGTCAACCATCAAAAGTTGGTGCAATCAGGTCTTAGATGACTTAGACAGTATAAAATAAGTAAAGCTTAATTATTTTTTTACATTTGAATAAAGTAAACTATGATCAATACATCAATAATTAAGTTTTGTCCTAATGCAAAAGAAAGTAAATTATTAATTTTTTGATGAAAAAGTTACAGAACTAAAAGAAAATCAATGTGTATATACATATCTACAGATTAATCGTGCAGAAGTTGTTAGAAAAGATCGTGTGCTACATTTCATAGAATCCGAGAAACTGTCTAACCTCACGTGATAATCGAGGATAAACTGACCTTATCGCGATACGGTGGCACAATTGACGTAGTATTGTTATCACAAAATAATATGACATATAATCGGGTGTTGGCGAGTGCAATCGCGAACGAGAATTCCAGAAACTTAACACTCAATCGAGGATCGTTAGGATCCGTTGATTCGATAATTGTTCATTTGTAATTCTCTGCATTTACATCGACCATTATTTTTTCAGCCTGTTTCATCCGAGTGAATCCAATTCATGAAGAACTTTCAAGCGAGGTCCAAGCGAGATCGCGGAATTAAGATTTTCGCATTTCGCCACGTCGAATCATAAACGACTTACGACGTAAACGATCCACCTAACCCTCCTGCTCCATTCTCTTGAACCTCTCGTTTCGCTTCTTCTCTTCATCTTGCGAAATGGTCGCAATATTTTTTACACTGACTCAACTAGGCATTTAGATGTCTAGTAATTATGCAATATGACTGTATCTTTATTTACTGCGCTCATAGGAGTAGTAGTCTAGCTATAGATCGAAATCATTTTTAGTCATTATTGTCATTGATCATGCAATCATAACGTTTGTGAAAATTAAGTTGGCAACAAATCAAATATTTGAGTGTATAATTTGCTGCTCAATTTTACGCGTAAAAAAATTATATATATATATACGTATTTGCTCGACCATTTACCGACTCTCGATATAATCACGATTAACTTGTACTCCTTGGATAAAACATAATTCGCGATCAACATTATCGATTGTCGATTATCGACAATCAATGCATGGCCGTGGCGCCACCTGACGGAGAAAATGCAGGTGAAACGGGGCGTGCTTATTCGATTGCGTCACGAGAGAAACTCCGTTTTTCCTAGTCGCAGTCGGCCATGACGGCGAGTGTGCGTAGAAATTAGATAGAAACGTCGAGGGCAGTGCCGAGACAGTGCCGTAGTGGTATTCCAGCCATTCCAGCTGCCGGGTGATCTGCTTGTCGTCTCGCGATTATTCGTGGCTCGTGCGGTGAAATAATATATAGGAGGAAGACAGAAAGCGAGGAGAAACGAAAAGTGGGAGACGAAGAATTTGTCGCGGCACGTCCGGGGCGGCGTCCGCGTTACTTACAATTCGCGATACGCAATTTCTCGCCGCCGCTCTCAGTTCTCTCTCTCTCTCTCCAAGGACTATTTGAAAATGGCGCGGATAACAAGGGCCGTGGTCCCCGTCCTGTACGGCGTCATCTCGTGACTTGTGAGAGGATTACTCGCCAAACGGACCTGTCGACAGTCGAATTGACTGCGAGAGAGAGAGAGAGAGAGAGAGAGAGAGAGAGAAAGAGAAAGAGAGAGACAGTTATTTGTACGTGCTACGTGCATTACGCTACAGCGCAGCTGGTCTGGTGTCGCCTGTCTCTTGCTTGACGCTTTGGCTCCGCTTATCGCATCGAGGTTCGCCGTTCGAGGAAGGAGGATCAGTGAACCAAGCCCTGTTTCCTCCCGCCCCTTCACGTCGATCGCCCGTGTCATTGTTCGCCGCGCGTTCCGCGCTTCTTCATCCTGGTGCGTCGTACACGGCGAAGGCTGCTTTCGCAGGTAAGTGTGTGCTACTTGCCGATATCGCCGGTGATCGCCCGTCCTGTCCCGTCCCGTCGCCGGCGCAGTGATTTCGCGAGATTGGAGTATCAGAGGCATTGGAGCGATCGCAGCCCGATCGAACGCCCGATTCTCGATTGCGTCGTAAACGGGCTCTAATTGTCTACACAACTGTATTTCAAAGAGTATTCAGGTGTTTTTGTTTTCATGCCAAATTACGTATAGTCGTAGACCGAAATTTTGCCTTGCAGGCGCAATAATAAATTTAATAATTCGTGATCTCGTTAACGCGCGCCCGATACTGTTAAGATACTTAAGATATTGTTAAATATCTTGTCAGAAAATTAAATAAAAGCAAACGTAAACTTGAACGATATGTTGTCGTATATTGTATGTCCTAACGCAACTCTCGACAAATGACAGTTCCATCTTGGACACCGAGCACACTCATTTCATATCAACGACCGTTTTTTTCGACCCTCGCCTCGCCTCGCTTCGCTTCACTGCGAAATCCTCACCTCCGAATAGAATTGCAATTCCGGACGAGTGCATTTAAGTATCGTGAGGGGAAAACGATGAAACGTGGGGTGCGAAAAAACTATTGTGAGTGACGAGGCAAGCCGGCAGCGGTGCCGGGTGCAGGTTTATATACAGGACGTGCATCGATCTGTCCGGAGACAGCGAGCTTGAAATTTCACCGCGTGCACCTTTCTATCGTACCAGACACTTTTCTCCAACAATGTTTCAATTGCAACACATGAATCGTTCATAAGTACATAACAGTCGTTTATGTGAAAATATGCATAGAGAGGATACGGTCAACTCCTCGAGTTGATCGCGTTGCTTTCCATGCCAAGCCAAGCCAAATCAAGCCAAGCCTAGCCAAGCCAAGCCAAGCCAAGCCAAGCCAAGCCAAGCCAAGCCAAGCTAAGCCAAGCCAAGCCAAGCCATGCCACGCCAAGCCACGCCACATCACACTACACTATGCGTGACACGCAAGTGATAGTGTAACATATAACTAAAGGAAGCACGGATTACGTGAGAGGCGTCGTATAACCGGAACAAGTATCGAGCGTCGATGGTACAGATCGGTTACATGGATATCGTACATATATAGTACACCTATCTACCGGATATCTCGACGGAAAGGATAGTGCGTGAGCAACGCAATGATGCACCAAGGTCGAATGCTCCAAATATGAAGTAAGTCTCTCTCAGCCAGAGCTTCGCATTCGTTTCGTGACATATTTGAAAGAAAAATTACTTTCTCAAATTCTCATTTCAGATCTTCGTTAGACGAGAGTTTGGAAACTAGAAATTACAGGTGTGCGTGAAATTTGATCCGTCGGAAAAGTCGATATTTTTAACGCGACCGTGCCGTTACGTTCAATTGCGCCTGAAACGTCAATGAACCGACGGAGAGGTGACGGAATTGTTGTCAACAACAAAAAACGCTTCTAGATACGATCTGTAACTTGCGATTTGTAAATTGCAATGCATACTAGAGGGGAGCAACGTCGGCGATGAAAAATTTCCCAAGTAGCAGCAATAATCATCATTAGTTCGTCACACGAATCTCATCGACTAGGAAAAAGTATCGCACGCTTTATTTTAAATAGCCTGACATGGCTATAAATAATTATTACGGCAGATCTCCCCGATGTATAAGATACACCATGAATATCTTACTCGATCGGGATTCGGCTTTTAGATACTCTCTCTTTAACAATTCAGTCGTTTACTACTTCCTACAGTACGTTCATTTGGAGGCTCGTGCAACTTGGATACCTCATCGGTTTCTCGCTTTGATTCCCTCACGTGAAAACGTCGATGCTAATGCGATTTCAAGCTTTAACGAAGCATGGCTATGTCGAGCTCTGCCTCCAGTTTCCGGCCGTTTCATCGACACCGCCGCGTCCGCGCCCGTGCCGCTCTGCCGTGCGTTGGCGTCGCGTCGCATCGTTCCGGTTTCAGTGATCGACTCCGAGGGCAAAAATGCTCGAGTATGCCATGCGCATTCGATACTTTCTACGATACGGTATATAAACTATTCTTTGAACACGATGCGCTTGATATATAATTCTAACATCGTTCTAGTCGCTTCACTCAATGCTTATTCTACATTTTTATTTTTGTCTTTTCACGTTATAATCTTTGCTTTTAATAAGATGCCAATATACCACCGGTTAGCCGTGAAGTTGGGGAACAGGATTTTTGTATAATCGGATTATACATACATAACGATTTTTCTCAAACAGCTCGTCGCGATTGAGTTTAAATGTACGAGACACGCTGCAGATTCACTTTTAAGGGTTAAAATTATATATAATTGAAATTAATTAAGCATATTATGGCTTATAAATATATTCGTCTCTCAAATCAATATTATTATCTAAGATCTTATTGATTTTTATATTTAACTTGCGTTATACATCTTTTCGCGCTACGTTCTAGTAATACTTTCGAGCCATATTTCTCTCGTTGATTCAACCAAAAATGTGAAACGACGAAATGCGATATTAGTTGTGTCCATGATTTCCAATCTTCACAATAGTAATTAACCTTGGCGAGAAGCCAAGGTATTTGATCATCTCTTTCCATAAACAACTGCATACCGGTTCAATTAGGTCAATTAGGTCAATTCTGCTGTAAAGTACTATTTTCGAAAGACGCATCATTTAGACTGCGCACATGATTTCAGCTACATCTTCCTCCATCTTCTATTGAAAACTGTATGATTAATGTATTCGTATATGCATGTTGGAGAAAGCTAGCAAAGTTACAGTCATTATTTGAGAAAACCTGGAGTTCAAGAATTTGATCATAATTTGAGGAATTATTTCTTCAAAGATTTTCATCTTATTTGGCGAGAAATTTTTCTTTTTCTTTTTATTTTTATTCTCACAATCGGGAAAGAAGAATTTAAGAAAAATTTAAATTTCTATAATATTTAAAAACATGCTGTAACTTTGACTGAAAATCTTCAGAGAGAATTTTCTCCAAAGTTTGAGCAGATATTCGAGATATCTATAAAAACACTGAATTTTAATTTCATTCATCATTTCCAGCACTTTGTCATTTGTTTTGAAGAAACATGTGTCTGTTTTTTGTTCCTACCTTAAAACTTCTCACTTTCGACAAAAATATTAAACATAAGATACTTTCTCACTTTAAGTTCCCCAAAAGTGTACACTGATTGATCCATAGAAAATAGACTTTTGGTAAGGGATGTGAATTGTTGAGGAGACATCTCAATCTCAAGTCGTAATTCTCGACACAGTTTTCGCCAGGACATCACGACCAGTCACGACACGATATTGCCGTTACATCGTCCGTGAGACTGCTGGCTACCGGTACTCGTGTCACAAGTTCGTGAATGTACACGCGTGTGCACGACTGCACACATTGACGCATGCAAGTATTCATGTCAGTTCACGTCGAGGGAGCAACCGGATGCAAACGGTAATGTCGAGTTTTCTAGATTTTTTTGAAGCCTGTTTTCGCACAATTTGAACGAGTACGTTCAATCGTTTTCACAATGTCTCTTCTATTAATTATATTTTGTTTTAGACATGGAAATGCTTTGTCACTGTCGTATCTTATTACGATTCAAAAGAGATTTTTGAGTTATGAAAAAACTTTCTGATCCGTTCCTCAAAGAAATCACATAAATTATTTTCACTGTCGCGAATCGTCGACGCTTACCTTGGCATATACATTCTTACACATTCTTAGAGTTTAACACTAAAATTACATTAATCGCTATTTGATTAATGCCTTATCACGTTGGAAAAAGTGACAGCATGTTTTTGTTTAACATGAAAAACATTAAAATCATTAACGAT